GCAGGCGAGAGTGCGATTTGTCCGGTCCGCGCGCAACCCTCTGCGGAGATCGTGCGTGTCGAGTGCGCGAAATGCAGGCGAGAGCGCGATTCGTCCGGTGTGCGCGCGACCCTCTCCGGAGATCGAATCGTGCGTGTCGAGTGCGCGAAATGCAGGCGATGCAGGCGAGAGTGCGATTTGCCGGCTGCGCGCGCAACCCTCTGCGGAGATCGTGCGTGTCGAGTGCGCGAAATGCAGGCGAGAGTGCGATTTGCCGGCTGCGCGCGCAACCCGCTGCGGAGATCGTGCGTGTCGAGTGCGCGAAATGCAGGCGAGAGTGCGATGTACCGGGTGTGCGCGCGACCCTCTGCGGAGATCGTGCGTGTCGAGTGCGCGAAATGCAGGCGAGAGCGCGATTTGTGAAATTACCGCGCAACCCTCTGCGGAGATCGTGCGTGTCGAGTGCGCGAAATGCAGGCGAGAGCGCGATTTGTGAAATTACCGCGCGACTCTCTGCGGAGATCGTGCGTGTCGAGTGCGCGAAATGCAGGCGAGAGTGCGATTCGTTTAGCAGCGGAGCAAGCTGTGGAGCTGGAAGGCTGAGAACTGGCGATGTGGTAGTACAACTGTAGTACGCGGAGTAGCTGGGGAGTGGGAAGATGAGAACTGGCGAGTGGGTAGTACAACTTGAGTACGCGGAGTATCTGGGGAGCTGGAAGATGAGCACTGGCGACTTTGTAGTACAACTATAGTACGTGGAGTAGCTGGGGAGCTGGAAGCTGAGAACTGGTGACTTTGTAGTACAACTTTAGTACGCGGAGCAATCTGTGGAGCTGGAAGCTGAGAACTGGCGACTGTGTAGTACAACTTTAGTACGCGGAGTAGCTGTGGAGCTGGAAGCTGAGAACTGGCGAGTTTCTAGTACAACTTTAGTACGCGGAGCAATCTGTCGAGCTGGAAGCTGAGAACTGGCGACTTTGTAGTACAACTTTAGTACGCGGAGTAGCTGGGGAGCTGGAAGATGAGAACTGGCGACTTGGTAGTACAACTTTAGTACGCAGAGTAACTGGCGAGTGGCCAGATGAGAACTGGTGACTTGGTAGTAGAATGACTTGGTAGTACAACTTTAGTACGCGGAGTATCTGGGGAGTAGCCAGATGAGAACTGGTGACTTGGTAGTACAATGACTTGGTAGTACAACTTTAGTACGCGGAGTATCCGGGGAGCTGGAAGATGAGAACTGGCGACTGGGTAGTACAAGTTGAGTACGCGGAGTATCTGGGGAGTTGGAAGATGAGAACTGGCGACCTGGTAGTGCAATTTTAGTACGCGGAGCAATCTGTGGAGCTGGAAGATGAGAACTGGCGACTGGCGACTTTGTAGTACAACTTGAGTACGCTTCATTCCAGCTTGCTTTTTTCAGCGAGATTTCCTGGAGGCGTGCACGCTGCTTCTCTCCTTACCAGCAGCCCAAATGCTCACAACTACACACCTATGTCGATTACCTAGATCCTGGCAGGACGCTACTAGGTGCTCTTGCCCTTAAGCTACTAGCAGGAAACCTACGTAACACTTCACACCGCACACTTGACAGATGACTCGCACTCTGACTTCCTACGTGATGAAAAATGCTTTCGGGCCACTCGTCGTCTAGTTGAAGGGGTGCATGATGGTACATGTGTTCGAATCACCGTGAATCATGGTCACACATCCGACATGGTAGGTCCAGCAAGACTTGGAGTACTTCCTCAAGAAGGGAGATCAGTTGCGCAGAAGTGGCGCTTATATTGAAGCCATACAGGCAGCTTCAGCCATGGAATTGGCAGCAGCAAGCTTTGCGGGAGGTTGTTGTCACGGGTAGGGAGGGAATTTTCCGGCCACCACATTGCTCACAAGAGGTGTTTCAACTTCTTTTAAAAGACATGATTACCAACTGCACAGCTGTTTTCCTTCTCTACTCCAGTCACAGAACTGGAATATAAGTGGCGATCCTTGGGAGGAAAATATGCCAACAGCATCAAGCAGCAACAATTCAAGCACACATGCAATTCGATGTTCTCTGGACAACTCTCGGGTGTGCCAACTACACATCGCAGGTGCTGAACCGCGCGCTGCTCTTGGAGAAGAGCCCCCGCGCCCTTGCGGCCCGTGCAGCGGCACGGCGTGCCCTGCTGCAGCGGGAAGAGGCTTGGGTCTGCTGAGTCGGCTATTTATGGTTTTCCTTTTTGATCCTTTTTGCTAACTTGTGCTTCCACATTCAGCTCCTGTGGGTTTGCTGGTATGCTTTCGGACCTCTTCTCTCCCACTGGTCCCACTGCTCATCCGATCTGCTAGGCGGTGAATGACTACACAGCAGCCTTCAAACTGGACCCTGCGGCTGTTTATCTCAGCGGCCGGGGCGTGGTGAAGTCGGAGCTGGGTTGGTATCGACCCTTGGACCGTGAAGGAGCTGGGTCGAAGGAGACGTGCAACTGTCCGGTTCCCACACCAGGTTCGGATCAGCGAGGTTCCAGATGATTCCAAAAGAGACCAACCTATCTGTTTTTGGCATACAGTCCAGCAAAAGATCAGGCCAAGAATGTGGAGCTAGTTGTGGAGCTGCGCACTGGCTTCAACAGCTTGAGACTGATGGTGCTGATGGCTGTCATGTTTTTCAGCTTGGCATTTCTCCTCCGGTCGTTCATGACAGAGTCGCCAACAATAGGTAGATGGATAGAGTCGCCAACAAGGGAATGAAGATGTGCAACCTCGTTCTGGACGATCCAAGGAGACGCGTTGGATGATTTCCAGAGTGCCCTCAAAATGGATCCCATGGACAAAGCAACTTAGATGAAATGGACATCTTACATTGTTTGACTTTCAGTTTGATTTTGTTGGTGAATTTTGAGACATCGTCATTGCTTCCAGTCTTTCTTCCTGGAAGCCCCACCCAGTGTGATTTGATCTGCACGTCATGAGGTTGCCAAGAACGGTCTCCAGTGGGTGCATCAGCAGGAGAGCCACGCACCCCTGAGAATCCTCTTCCTTGGAGGTTTTAAGCGGATGAGTGCCATGATGCTTGGCTTTCACGGACTTTAGCTGGGTGGAATGGAACCAACAAAGTACAGCTTGAGAAAGGTGCAACTGCTTCCGGTACTTCTTTCCGAGCTGAGGAACACGACCTATGTGGAGCGACGCATCCCTGCGTGCATCATCATGGGCCGGGAGAGCTACTGGTCCTTGGATAACCAGCACGTGCTCTACTGGAGTAGCCAGGCAGGCCGCTGGCCGAGCGCCGTTTTGTAAGAAAAGGGTCCTCAGGCACTTTTCAGTGAGGAATGTGAAGATGTGCTTTTGGTTCACAGGAGTAGAGGGCTGTTCTGGACATGCAAGGTGCCAGCCATGAAACCCACAGTGGTCATGCACAGGAGAGACGCTGGAAGGGCTGCCGTGCTGTGGATGTGGAACGGATTTCCCAGCAGGAAGCTTGGCCGAGATCAGGACACTCAAGGTACCATCCTTCCAAAGATTCTGGAATGTATCCTTAAACATCTCAAAAGCATCGAACATTTGGGTCTTCCTGACATATCGCTTACCATTTTACGATTGATGCAAGCTGTGCCGAAGAGGTCCCGGTCGGGGTGACACCAAGTCCAGGCTCCGTCACCACTCCTTCGGAGCGAGCCCAGGCGTCTCCTGGATGCATCGGCGCGCCGGAACGCACGCACGTCTTGTCTGGCTCACTGCCGCGGGGCTGGTTTGAGTGGACTGGCACTGAGTGGGCCAAGCTGCCTGGCTGCAAGCTCCAGAGACGGGACGGGCACGAACCACTGCAGTGAGATGAGTTGGGAATATATTATATATGTTGGAGACAGGGAAACTAGTGGGGTTCCAGTGGGGGGTTCGGGTCATGAAGTGACCAAGTTGCTCGTCCTGACAATGTCACACTTGCTCATTCCCAAGCACAGTGCCTCAGGCAAACACTCGAAGCTCTTTCAGAGTTGCGAAAGCAGCAGGGGGTGGAGGTCAGAGATGGAAGAGCTTTTGGCATGAACATGATACACGAATCGTTCTCACCTTCTGGGATCGTTCAAAGCGATTCCCCCAGGCTCCCCAGCTCTGGAGTGACCAGCTTTGGCCCTATCTCAGCACCCTTGCGGATCATCAATCTCTATGACTTCTGGCCGCCTGCCTGACTGGTAGCGGAAATCATGGGCCCGCGCTCGCTGCGGTCGTATTGGTAGCACATGATCACACCAGAAGAGCAAAGGCTCGGTTAAAATCACTTATATAGGTAGCATAATTTGGCACAGCGTTTGGCATGAACACAGGTAGTTTCAATCGTGGGTTTTATAGGTTTTGAAACGGTGGACCAAGCGGACCAAGAGCCTCTTTTGAGCTATGCAACTATGCTTTCAACTGGTTCAACAAAATGACCTGAACAATATGTATTGAACAGCGGCCCCTTTGGAAATCCCTTCCCACCTGGCACCCGGTTAAGCCGCCTGGAGTCTCAGGAAAAAACTATAGCCTGTTAGCTCAGCTCCAGAAAGTGTCCCATTTCAAATTTCATCAAATTTCACATGGGCGTGGCCCTGATCACGCTTCGCGGCGCGATCTGCGAGGCGGACCATGATTAACACCAGCTATGTGGAACGCCGGCAGCTGGCGACTTGGCAGCAAGCAGTGGCCGTTTGGAGCGCCGTAGCTGATAATAGCACGTCCCGGACCAAGGAATACACAGTGAACAGCCGAGAAACCTATTGGCCGCTTGGCAAGCATCGAATCCTCAGTGTTGCCACAGTGGATGAAAAAATGCCTCCGCCTCACAGATTGTGCACTCACAGCTGAGGTCAGTGGATGGGGCTTTATTCATTTATTGGCTCCTTGGCACTTTGAAAGGTGGTCCAGGTTACATGTTAGACGTGGGTTAGCTTGAGCAGATCTTCCTTAAAGCACTCCCTGTTCTCCTGAGGTGTCCCAAAGAGTCACGCTGGAGAGGCAACGACCTGGCACAAAATTCACTAAATTTGGAAGTTCTGCCTTTGGACAGAGAAGAACTTCAGGCTTCCAGGCTTCATGTTCCGTCATTCTTCCTTTGACACACTTCAACCCTTCCCAATGTGCCGTACTGGGCCCAAAAATCCTCTAGGTCCAAAAGAGCTATCCAATTTGTTTTGGAGCTGGTTGAATGACCGGTTGCTGGTTGGATTATTTTTTTGGTTCTCTAAACTAACAATCTCTCAAGTCCACCGTGTCCTTGTACGTCTCTGCAAGACTCCAAATCCGCAGGCTGCCGCTCCCAGGATTTGCGAACGGTCCAGCAGGGCGAATCTGCAACTCGGTGCCTGAGGCGGTTTGGGTGTTCGAAGCCCGAAACTGGAAGGAATCTGGAATTTCATCAGGTCTTTCCTGCCTAGTCTTCGTATGTTTCCGTGAATTTACTGTAATCTATATGTAAGCCCATTGTAATATTATAGCGTGAGGCACAGTGTGAACCTTGACTTGCTCCTTCCAGAAATCACGAGCTTGTGGAAGTGCCCCTCGAGCAAAGATGGGCAACACATCTGAGTCAAACACCGCGGCCAATACGTTACAAGTGCATTACTACTGGTAACAAGAAGCTACTAGTAACAAGTGCATCGCTACTAGTAACAAGGGCATTAATTACTACTAGTAGCTAGAAGCTACTAGTAACAACACATTTGCTTCAACACATCCAAAACTGAGGTGGCACTCTTCGGGGCCCCCAGAGGGAATGACATCTTGTCCTTGAAGACAGGCCATGAACAAGCCGTCAACAGGGTGTGCATGAAATTCTGAAAGGGATGAACCTCAGTGAACCTCGAGGCTGCCAAGGCTGAGGTTCAGGCGTGATGTGACTGACGCATTCCCAATTTCTGGGGCAGAAGTTTGCTGTGTCAAATCGCCACGCGAGATGCCCTTCCTTCCAGGCTGGCATGAACTACAGAATAAGGAATGGGTGGTCGCTAATGCAGGCCACCGCTCCGGACGCGCTTTGGTGACCAATTGCCCGTCATTATGAGGGAGTTGCCACGAGGTGCTTAGGGGCTTAGGGCTTAGGGGCTTGAGCTTCGCCAGTTGATCCGTCCATTTGTGTGGGCCTACTGGTAACCTTTTTAGAACTTCGTTCTTGGGTTGTTCCGTGTTCTCGGGTCCTATGATTCCTCTTGATGGCACCTTTTTCGCAACAGAGAGATGCTCTGACAGGTGTGAACATCGAGCCGAAGTCCCTAAGAAAACGTACGGTGACGCTGTGGCTCGGCGGCATTGATGGCATTGATAGAACAACTGGTTCACATGTTTCAGAATCACTCTGATTTACGGTTTGATTTGGATTTTCGAGGCAGTCCACAACCCCCAAGCTGTCCACAAGCTGTTTTTTTGGACTGAGGGTCGGCTTCTCCGCAGAGGGGGTGAATACGACCTACCGGGAGAACCGGCAAAAGGAGAGCTTTTCAAGGCATACTTCTTGTCTTAAGAAGTTAAATATGAGTACATGTTGGAGATGTGTATATACTAAAGGTCTTTGCACATCGGAGGAGATGATGGTCAATGACCGCGAGATCTACTGCTCTGAAGGGTAGCTGGGCTGAAGACTTTCAGACGCTGCTTCTGACTGGTGGATAGGGAGACCAGCGTAGTGGATTGCATCGCAGCCTGTGGAGAGGAGGGCATGCGGTCTACAACTGTTGGCACCCAGTTCGTTGCTCAAATGAGGGCACCCGCAACTCTTGATACATCATGATCTATCTTGATACATCTACTTTCCTTGCTGCTATGTGGGTGTTACCGAGGGGCCGCAAATGGTTCAGAGACACCGAGACAGCAAGGTTTGTTTGATGTGTCCTTGGCATCCTGTTGCCAAGAGTTTGGGCAAAGCTGAAGCTTCTTTTTATTTTGAATGCAGGGCAGAAGAAGATGACAGGGGACGGGGCAACTGATTGATTTGGAGGCGATGATGGTGCATGTGATGCAACACCCCCTGCCTAGTCCCCTGCCTGGCGAGAAACATCGTCCACAAATTTCTCTTGCAAAATGACCCAGTCCACCCATTCTAGGCCCAATGCGCATTTTCTCTATTGGTCGAAGGCGGGAAAATGGGAACTCTGGTTGGGGCAAAGGCACTGGTATGAATGTTGGTTGTAACATCGACAGTAGCATAACTTTAACATCAGCAGTATCATGACTTTGATCTTCACATCTCCACAATCTAGTCGCCTTGCCAGTTCACATGCGCCTAGCTGCCAGACATTCTGAGAAACGCGCATCATTGCTTGTCCTTGCGCTTGTCATTCCAAGAGGCCAGATTCTTGCGAGGGGGAATGCTACTAGGGGCTCCTGGCCTTACTACTAGGAGCAAGAAGCTACTAGGAACCTACTAGGAACACGGACGCTACTAGAGGCTCCAGTGTCGTTCGAGTGCGGGATGGCCGTCCATCGCCCCACCGGCGCAATCTGTGGTAGGCCGAATCCAGATGGAAAGGAACTGTCTTGAGCAACCACCAGAAGATCCAGGTGCGAGACAGGAACCATCAGAGACCCAAGGCAATGAACACCTGGGATACCGGGATGCCTAACAAGGCTCACGGGATCCCGGGCAAGTTTCAGAAACATTCAGAGAAATCATGAAAGCAAGAAGCTCCTTGGACAGGTGTTTTTGTACTGTCAGTGTCATGAGTCATGTACTTTCATTTTGAACATCCATGACTTCTGTGAGTTTCCATCCGCAGCCGCTTTGCAGCGACGTTCCGTCTCGCTTGGACCCAGGGTGGCCGCTCCTCTGCCATCATCGGCGCACCGCAGCTGGCGGATCTCTTCGACCCCGCCCCACTCCGCGGCTGGCACGATGCTCGGCGGACAACACTACGCCCGGTATGCGGGTCGTGGACGGGATGCGGGGGACCCGAGCTCCGTGGGAGATGAGTATATATATATATAATAATATGTATTTATATATATATATATATAAACCTAGACGAGGTGTTTGTAGTGCATATATGCATATAGGTGGTATTGGGGTTTCTGGTTTCTTTCACAAGCAAAGCTGCAAACCTGAAGACCTAAGCGACCTTGAACAACATCAGGCAGATGAACCACCATAAAACAAAACAGCGGACCACTTGGCCAGGACGCGCACCAGGGAGTCCTGGCATTGCCTGTGAAGGAACCCTACTGGATCCTGGTGGCCCTATGTAGCAATTACCTGCGATTAAAAGGGTTCCACACAAACACGCACATGGCGAAGGGAGGGTTTCTTCACAGATCTAATGACTGGGCTGTCCGACCCTGCAAAACGCTTCGCTGGCTTTGCTGTTCCTTTGCTCCTCCAAATCAGGCTAATCAGGGGTCCTGGAAAATTCTTTGTCTCCAAATTATTTGTCTCCAAAGCGTGGGGGTTGCCCTTTTTGTGGGGAGGGGTTCGATTTTGCAGAATCTTCTGGGGATGTTTTCGTGTGTAGGAGTGTAGGATGGGTCGTTCGTCGGGTGGTCCAAGAGTCAAGACGGCTTGATTAATGCTCTGAGCTACCGTCGTTGCACTTGCAAGAGCAGCCATGCTTGGGAAGATTGCAGGTTGTTGGAGCATTTGTGTTCCAAGCGTGGCACGTTTTTTCAAAAACATTCTCCTTGCGGGGAGGACCACAATTGAAAGCACGTCAGGTTCATAGCTCAAGAATCATTTCACGATTCCAAGCAAGGGAACTGAGGCAGTGGAGGAACTCAATATTCAGCAGTTTGCAGTTTATTACAGCAGGGAGATGCCGACCGTTCACCTCTCAATGATCTTTGTTTTCCGGACTGCGTCAGTTCAAGTGACCCATGGGTCGTTTGTGATAACATGGGGCCCCTCCTTCATAAGCGGAGGTGCACCCAACCCGCCCTGTGCATCGGGGGGGGGTCGCGAGTGGGCGATCGAGGGCCAGGCCAGGCCTTGCAACGGCTCAATGGGGCATCATGTATGTCGTCCCACCATATTCAAGTCTATACTACCCCATTTGCCAGCCTCGGCTGTCACCGTGTCCAAAGAGAGCGATGGGCTGCAGCAGGGGCAACCTTAAAGTAGATGGGTTTCTAGGGTGTCTGCTTTTAGTGAGTGACCTGTTTCCGAAACTATAAAGCAGAAGGTGGGGAGGAGGAGCAGATGCCAACTATATACTGGGATTTGCTTGGAGCACCGGTCCAATGAGCATGCGTGCTGGGCGCGGTGGGTTTAGCGCTAAGTGGCCAGGAATGGACGGGCGACGACTGGGTCTACCGAGTGCGGGCCGGTGTGGGCAGTCTGGGCACACTGCGGGATGACTATGTCGCCAAAGCGGCCAAGGCCAAGGTGCCAGGGCCGGTTGCAGTGAATTAGGGACTTGGAAGAGGATTGACCTGACAGAATTTGAGTTGAAAGCTGGTGGTGTTTTTACATTTGCAACGGGACCTGCTTGCGTGGCCCATTGTTTCCGCACTCCGCGCAGGTGCCGCCAGCCAAGAGGAGGAAGACTCACGAGGCTCCGCGGAATGGCCTGAGCCGCGAGCAATTGATCCAGGCCTTGGCCGAGCGTGTGTGACGCGGGACCGGCGATCACTAAACGGGTCATGAGAATGACAGAAGGGTGGAGGCCATCGCTAGTAGGGAGGAGGCCATTGCTAGTGTGTTTGTGCACTCAGTGCTTTCGTGCTTTCACACGGCAGTGGAGCGGGTTGGAGCGACCTTGGGGTTGTGCTCAGCCCGGGCCTGCTTCTGGAGTCCGTGAGTGTGTTGTGGTCGAGTGAATTTATCTCTTTTGAAGGATGTTTTGGACCACCTCATCTCAATCATACAACATTCGCCGTATTTGCAAGATATTTCTTTTTGCACAGTTGAATGACTTGATGACTGCATACTTCATTTGGTGTTTCTGGGGAAAATCAAGTCCAAGGATTCTTTGTAATTACTTAGTCTGCAAGGGCAAGGCAGGCCATTTCTTTTTAGTTTTGCTCCTTGCACCAGCTGCAACAGGGGGCATCTCGGATGATTGATGGAAAATGCTTGCTAGTTGGATAATGCAAGCTCAGAGGGAAAACTGATCTTGTTTTTTTTGATCTCAAGTTAGGCGATATGATGAGCAGTTGTGCGCAGCGTGCTTTTCTTTGAGGCAAATTTCCATGGAGGCTTAGCCTTTAAAGGCCCTGTTTGGCAACCTTAAGTGACGTGAACGATCTAAACATGTCTTAACCCCCACCCACCCCACCCCACAACATTTCCCAATTCCAATGTGTAAGTGATCACAGTGATCCCTTCGATGCGTAAATGACCCGCCCGCCCTTCTACAGCCAGGCGACAGGGTTTCTGCGGTGTCCTGCAGCCTGCCAGGAGGTGTTCAAGCACTTCGACAAAGACGGTGATCAATTGCTGAACGCCTCTGACATGCTGAGCTTTGCAGCTTGGTGTCAACCACAGTGGCTTGATGTGGCGTGTCATGACTTCTCCACTCTCCACGCCTTTAGCCCGGATTCATCTCAGAAGATGCACGTGATTGAAACTGCTTGGCTCACAGTACGCCCCATAAGACAGCATTGGGATTGTCGGATTGGTGCAGTACAGAATGCAGCAATAAAGGGATTGCCGCGGCCTTCTGCAGGTAAGTCTGAGCTTGGTTTTGAGGTTTCCCAGTGAGACATGAATCCCCAAGACTGCTGAGACTTCTTCAACAGCAGCAGGACTTCTTCACTTCTTGGATAGTTGCGAATAGTGGCCAAGAAACCGATTTGTTTTCCCCACGATTTCGCGGTTTACTCCTTGAGGCGAGCTCTGTCGGCTTTGATGGTAGCCGTGAGGAATGGCAGGAGGACGGGCGGAGTGGTTCTAACATGCAGCGTTCCTTCCATTCTCTCACTTGGTTTGGCACAGCTCACAACCCCCCCCCCCCGGCAGAGGCAGATGCATTCCGTTTTGTCTTGGGTTCCACAGTTCCACTGTCGCCTGGCAGGAGTATCGCCTCATCTGCGAAGGCCTTGGCCGCACGCCGGATCAGGGCATTGACGCTGCATCCTTCTTCAAGCTGGTGAATGAGGAGTGGCAGATCCGGTCGATGCATCCAACTTGAGTCCGGGGTAAGGTCTTCCGGTACAGCTCAGTCAGACTCCGCTTGGAGCATGTCGAAACTCATTGCAGAGCATGTTTATATTAGTCCGAAAGTCTTGCTCTCAACTTGGCGAGTTGAGTCGGAGAGTCGTTGAAGGACACGGATGATGGTTGCTATTGCTCTGACAAGGCGGGACCGGGTGCTGGGGTGCTTGCATTTCGTTGGATGCTTCAAAACTGAAAAAGACCTCGAACGCTGAAAGCCAGAGGTTTTGGGTATGGTGACCGGTGCTTCCCACTGGAAAAAATGGGATCAGCAAGTCAAGCGGCTACGCACGCTTGCAAATCAGGCTCTATAGGGATGTCCTGGAGCCCAGCCACCGAGCAGACGGTGTTCCCTTGAAGAATAGCGCAGGGGATCTCAAAACCACTTGACTCACTTGACAATATTTCTTTTCAAGGGATCCTTTGTGCTCATTATATGGCGACCCCCCTAAAATGTACCAATTACATACACACGTTATTTTACATTCATAGAACAGTGAACCCCCGAGCCATTGGCAATGCATTGGACACCGGTTCTATATTTGGGCACCCCCATGCTGGGTCAGTAAACTTTTTGCACACCTTGCTAACTGCGTTTTTGCTGTGACCAGGAGCTGGCAGGTATGCTTGGGCAATCATGGCCACCTCCACGAGTGGTGTGGCTGGGCAGCAGCATGTGCTGCAAAGTGTTCTCACGCATAGAGCAGATATATATATATATATTATATGCTTGGACTATCTTGGACTCAATTTGTGTGTGCTGTCCTCACAACATCGAAAAGAATTAAAGAATTGACGAGAGGAGTTTTGCTGCTCATGTGGCTGACAACAGGCTCAACTCCTTTCAGAATCATTCAGAATCGTAGGGTTGTCACTTGTCGGTGAAGGCAAGAGGAGCCGAAGGTAATGAGCAACATGGAGGGCGTAGGCGTATATAGGCCCTCCCCGGCAACCAGCAGTGGAATTGGACTCTGTCTCTTCTCCACCCACTCGGCCCATGGCTGTCCGCTTCCAGGTCCTGACGGGCCGATGTGCTGAGCCCGAGCGCTGAGCGAAAAAAAGACGGCGGGGTGGTTGCGAAGGCTATGGTGTACCCTAGTAGCCCTAGTAGTGTCCCCTTGCTCCTAGTAGCGAATGCCAGGAGCCCCCTAGTAGCGGGTACACGATGCCTGGGAAAGAGGAAGCTACTGTAGTATGGGGTCGGTGGCCCAGAGATTTTTGATATGCAATGGCATCTTGATGTTTGGCCCGGCAGCCAGAAAATAATGCATGTGCCAAAGATCCGTTTCCTCAGATGTTCTGATTCTAATTTGATTGGTTGGGTTTCTATCACTTGGGGGTGGATCCCTTCATACTTGGCGCCTTCTGTTATTCACGCGCAAGCTGATCCAGCAGTTGCCGCAAAGGTATGTTGTCAGCCCCGCTCTCGAACTGTGTGTCTTAGGGGCATGGCTTCAGATCCTGCAAGTCGAGCTGAGCCCTGCGAGTCGGTTTCAGCCTGGCGCTGTTTTCTTTGATACTCCTGGCTTGGTGGAGGTCTTCCCCATGTCACAATGAGATGTATATGACAGAGCACAATCTCCCGTCTGGCAGCCCAAGAAGGCATGATGGCCTTCTCCTTTGCACTGCTAATCTTGACCCAGCCCGTCTCTGGTGAACTCGGCACGGTTGCGGATTTGAGCTTCATGTTTTGAACGGAACATGTACCTCAAATCCGTGAAGGAGCCTTTGGATCGAAGCTCGTGTTGTGTTGAAGCTAAGACCGGGCGGGGATTGGAGGCAAAGGCCTTCTGGCATACTTGGTTGCAAAGCTCGACACCATGAGAAAAGGCCTTCAGTCAGTGCCAATCTCGTTTTTTCGTTTCAGCACGCACGCCGCATGTGCGACTTTGCCCTGCTGTGCTTTCTTTAGTATTTGGCGCCCAGTAGTGCAGGTGCTTCCCGCGGTTGCTGCTTCTCCAGCCACAGCTCTTCCGGCCTCCAGCTCTGCAGGAGAAAGGGCGGACCTTTGAAGTGGATCGAAGCAAAAGATAGCAAAGATTTTCATGTGATGAGGTACGGCATGGGCAAAGTCCTTTGATGCATGAATGCGATTGTGACAACTTTGGTAGTGGCAAAGGCTGCATTAGAATGTTGAAGCTGTACGTAGGCCAGATGTGTCACTGTCCCTAGAGAGGGAGTTTTGGAGACACAAAGGGTTGCTACCCGTCCTGTCAGGACCCATGGGGAACGCAGAGGCGTGCAGGAGATACAGGGTGCTTCTTGGAAGAATGAGAAGGGTGAAAACCATGGAAAACTGAATGGCAGGAGGATGTTGCAAGGGTTGTTGATATTGAAGAAGGTTTGACGACGTGCCACAAAAAATGGTTAGTGGTCAAGCTGCAATGGAGCTTCAGGAGCTCCCAAAGCATGGAGGCGACGCTGACAACAGAGAAAGAGAGAGAGAGAGAGAGAGCGAGGGAGGGAGGGAGGGAGGGAGGGTTTATATATATTATACTGCAGGCCAGTGAGATAGGAGTTGTGAAACGATGGGCGGCAGCAGGAAGATCAGTCATATGCCACAGCTCCTATCTCATCATCAGGCCAAACCATACAAAAATGACCCTGACACACACACGCACTCACTGTGTGTTGTCTCATAAATGTTCAAGATTTCATGGGTTCAAGAAGTATTTTACATTAAATCAAATCACACATAACATGACATAGGATTATGTCACCAACATAGCACCTGGCAACTTGTGGGTGAGGCAAGATAGCATGTGGCAACAGGGAATGCCCCTAAGTCATGAAGCTTTCATCAGTCATGCTTTCTCCTTGGGGATGTTACTTTAAAAACTGCATGTTTATAACCGTGTGTATATATATACACATATATACTGGCATAACGTCCATAATCCTGCAGCGTATATGCTGCATTTGGCAACCTTGTTCGCTGACTGATGACTTGGCCGTTGTGACCCACAACTCCTATGTAATTAGCCCTGAGTATATGCCTTTGTTTGCAGCTGGTGTATCTCTACCTTGGTTGGATGTTTGAAACACTTGGTCTAATTGATTGAACAACAGTGATGGTGTTGAGAAGTTGGGGACCAAATCATTTCTTCCAAGGAGGTCTTGTAGTTTGACGGCGGCCAATTTTCCATCCTTGACGCCAATCATACCTTGTTCTCAATGGGTTTGGGAGGGCCGCCCTCCTCCAGGCAGAAGTGGTTGCTCCAGACCTCTAACCACAGGAGGGAAGGCTCAACATTTGATTGTCACACCATGGGCTCCCCCCAAAATCCTTTTTGAGCCAGTCATTCCACCAGGGTTCCGCACAATTCATTGCCAAAAGGTCGGGCTCAAAGGCGGCTTGACTGGCCCTCGTGTGCAGATGGTCCTGAAGGAAGATGCGGTGTCCGTAGCGGAGCTCTGCCGGAAGATCGCGCCGGGCCGGGCGGTGTGCGTGCTGGAGGGAAGGAAGTTCGCCAACTTCTCAGGCCGAGCTGGCGAACATGGCAAGTCGCTTGAACTCCCTGGGGGAGTTGATTGATAGGTTGGGAGATCCCGGGCCACGACACACCTGAAAGTAGACCAGTTTCGGTTGGCCTTGAGAGCCCTGACATGATCGGATCACAGATGTCCCACCAGTCTTTGCCCATAGAGCCAAGGAAGCAAGATTGATGTCTCGTTTGGTCTGGTGGGTTTCAGTTGAAAGCCTTGTTGGGCTCCTGAGCTGCTTGGAAATTGACTTGAAACGATTGGGAGAACAACGTCCAGCTCCCATAGGTGCAGGATCCATGCCGCAGAAATCCATGTAGAGCGTACTCACTGCGTGTAGTGCACGTCTTCTGATTGTTAAAATCCATCCCACGCGAGGTCCCTTTGCTGTTTTTCCAAATGTCAAAGCTGCGAGGCGGCGAGGTGGGCCGCGTCTTGAGCATTGATTTCGATTCCCAGCTCTGCCTGGTACAGTTTCGAGGTCGGCCACCCGTGGAAGTGCCAGTTCGACACTTGCGCGCCAGCGAGGACCGTGAGGACCATGAGGTGGAGCATTTGGTGAGCGCCAGAAGCCCCAGCCCACGGAGAAGAAAGGACACCCTCGGGCAGTTCATGTGTGCATCCAGTGTAGGCTGCGTGCAAGGGCATGACAATGGTGTGTCAATGCTTTTCATATATAAGACAACAGGCGGTAACAGGCGCTTGTATAATCATGACATAGTCCAACATGTTGTTTTGTAGCCCACAAGTTGTGCAGGGTCGGTGTTGTGGCCAATGGACCCGCCTGGTGCTTGTTTTGGTGAGACGCGGTGATTGCCATGTGTCACACTGCCAGCCATGGATGAAAAAGATTGACCAGTGCAGGATGGCTATGTGAACTTCAAAGCCGAGATCCTGGATGACTCACAATCCGCGATGGTCTCGCCTGAGAGAGCCACTGCTGCGCTGAAGCGAATGCTGGCGATGGCTCCCTTACGGACCTTAGAGCGCGGAAACCCTGAAGGGCGTGAAGGCAGCTGGCTTCCTGGCATTTCTTGAAGCAGCAGGTTTTCTTGCAGCATCTTGCAGCTCCTTTCATGTTTCTCCAAGGGATTAGGTCTGAATTTTGAGAAATAGGCTTCCGTGTGGTACGGCTTCTGTTAGGTATACTTTGTGCGACTGCTCGCCACGGAGTTCCTTCTGCAGTTCACGGGGCCGAGATTTCAACCTGGCCACACCTGAGAGAACGTCGTCGTACACCGCGTCGCCGATTGACACGGTGTGGCGGGAATCCCGTGAACGGCCACCGTCACCTCCCCGGCATGGCCGGGCCTGGTTTTGCCCCTCGTTGCCGATGGGTGCAGCAGGCGCGCGGCTTCTTTCTGCTGAGGAGTGCCACCAAGTGACAGTGGGCCTGCTCCCTCCAGGTAACCTGCTGGGCAGCATTCCAAGCCTTCCCAGCATTCCATTTGGCTCCACCAACGGAACGAGCTTGAGTGTTTCACCCTTTGGTACCGTGTAGTCTTGTTAGCAATAGCATCAGCGCAGACATATTTCAGCTGGAAGAACTCGGAGGAAAAGGAGGGCCCAGGAGGGCTGGTCTTTTAAACTAAGAGATTCTGTGAGATTCTCTAATTTTCACACAGTTTCAGGTTCCCTTCATGTCGCTTCCGTAAGTGTTTCATACCCCATCCGCGTGACATCGGCGTCCTGAAACATCTGAAACTCAGGATGGGCTGTCGGCTGAATGGATGATGACTGTTGACCTCGCGAGAGGGCAAACGGTTGGCTTTGCTGCGACGCTTTGGATCTGAATGGGAGATCAAACAATTCTAATTCTAGTTTTCAATAGTTTGTCTATCACCTGAGCCGATGCTGCTCAAGCTTTTTCTTTGAAGGGTGTGGTTTTCATCCTCTTTACCCTCCCAAGGTGTGCTCCACTCTTTGGGATTCAAGAGAGGCCACGAGGACAGTGAACTGCCACGCAGGCCACGCAGCCCTCCGCGCCCTCCGCGCCCGTGGCGGTTGAGCCTTCGACTCAACCAGAGGCGCGAGGAGACAAGACGGGCTGACCGGCGATTGCACCATCCGGTTGTTTCTTACAAGGCGCATTTATGTACAAGTCGAACATGGTGACAACTTCATCTTAATTCAGGACTCTTTCATACCAACATGGACATGGAGATCAAGACCTGACGTGATCGCCATGATTGCCTTGCAAAATGTGAAGAAACAACCTTGACATATCTGGATCTGCTCAAGGTAGATGTGGCCGCCTATGTGCCACCTGCGGACGAGGTGCAACCCGTCGATTTGACCAAACGCCCCGCAAACTATAAAGAGGGACGGAAGAATGACAAGTTTTCCCGAAATTATTCCAGACCCCTGGATAGTATTTTCCCCTTCCCTTCTGGGGGTCGGAATAAAACACATATTACACATGTTTTTCACCCATTGACTTATTTACTGATTGATCTAGTTCTAGTCTAGTTATTTCACAACCACCTCTACCACCAGCTCTTTCCAAAGGGAGGGCTATTTCTTCGGGGATGTATTGTTTCGTTTAGGGCATGTTTTTTTGGATTCGCGTCGTTCCTGTTTGTTTTGCATTTCTTGTTTTTTTGCTTTGCATTTTGGTGATTTCTAATTATTTTCTCGCTTTTCATCTTTTTTGTGATTGTCTAGCTTTTCCTGCCTTATTTTTTGCTGTTTTTGCTTTTCCTGCTTCTTGCTTCTTGTGGCGTATTGCTTCCTTGTTTTAGGTAACCGCGTCTGTAAGGGGCCGGGCGTTTATGCATATGCATATTTTTAGCTTTTGTGGCTTTGACGTCACTTGTACTTGCAAACATGCTTGATGCTACGTCATAGATAGGGTGGGGGCGGGGTTGTATTGACGTCACTTGTGCTTGCAAACATATTTGATGCTACGCTCATGTAGTCAAAGCTGGTCAAAACTGCGGTGAGCCTCCAAAAACGAACGTTCCGAGCAACCTTTACAGCGCTGTAGCCGCACTGTAGCCCCCTCCTCCAAAACACTCCCCGTGTAAAAACGTCAAAAGCGTGGGAAATTAACAATTCCAAGAAAACACTACGTTCAAAGACCTTACAAACGCATGGCCCCTTAGGGGCGCGGTTACCTTGTTTTAGCAATTCTTTCTCAAACAATTTTTCAAGGGCGTACTACACAAGACCAATCTTGAAGCATGAGGCTCAGTTTTCTTTTGTGCTGCTATTGCTCCCCTTTCAAGATCCTTGCTTAACCCCTGCTACGACTACTGCTGCTACTGCTCATTCTGCTGCTGCTGCTGCTGCTGCTGCTGCGACTGCTGCTACGATAAAAACTTCATTTTGCAGTAGGGAGCAGGAGGGTATATAATACTTTCGATGATGCTGTCTCTGTTCACTCTCCCTCAGTTGTTTGGTAGAAGGGGGGGAAGGTGGTGATTCATAGTTAGATCAATTAAATCCAACATTATATAATTACGTTCGGCTCCAGTCCATTCCGTTCTTATTCTTCCATGCGTAGCATTTGAGAACTGAGCACGACGGAGCGCTGGTAGAACTGGGACGCCCAGCTTTAGCCGACCCACCTTCAGATTTGCATCCAGGACGGTCAAGCTGACACGCCCGAGGAGGCTGGTCGGCTTGAGGGGGTACTTCGACGGGTCGGAGCTTTTTGGGATGTCCAGGTTGGCCGTGAGGCCGAAGCTCGATCCGCTGATGAATCTGAGACCGCCGAGGAGGCCAGTGCCAGCGCGACAGCTGGAGCGGGGGCTCTTCAAAGAGGTCTTGGTAGTCTTCATCAACAAAGCAGAGTATGTTTATGTGAAGGCGAGTGTTGTGGAGCGGTTGCGTTCGAAGGCGTTTGTTTGGGTCAGAACATTGTCATCAGAAGAGCTTCTGCTTCTTGGTTGACCTCTTGCCAGACCTCTCCTACATAATATTCTAATGCCCGGCAGGATCAAGACAAACACTCCTAAGATTTCCTCACCACCAGTGAGTGTCCATCAGTCATACTGCAATCAAAAACCCGATGTGTTAGCTCGTGCTTCTGGTGCAAGCTTCTTGACCTTGCAGCCGCACTCCAAGCGTTGCCAGGCCGCCTCAAACTCTGCTTGGCTCTCCACTGCCGCGCCGCAGCCCAGCCGCATGATGACTGAGGTGGCCTCTTCCGATGATAGTCCAGAGGAGGTGCGGGTTTCCACTTTCTCTGTGTGCTTTGCTGACTTGTATTTCCATGAGAAGGTCTGCCGTGCCATCCCTGCGGGGTCAGGTGGACGGACTGGCTTCGGAAGATGATCTTCAGCTTGATGCAATCCCAGCAGGCGGTCTGGAAGAGGCGGGCGTCAGTATGATTCTGAGACTCCGACTGACAGGCTGAGCCTCACATCTTTATTTGGCCTGACTGACTAGCATTTAGTTTCTTCCCCTTTCTTTTTTATTTGGGTTGGGCTTAAGCCGTGAAGCCAAGCAAAACATGGGAACTCTTGATCACACTTGAGCCATCTCCAAGGCCGCGTCCACTGCAGCCCCATATCCCGCCTTCTCTGAACAAGAGGCCGTCTAAACATTACAGTAGGAGAGAAAGTTGCCACCCTCAAGTTTTGGGCTCAGTATCAGGCGTGCTGAGGGGAACACGCTGGCTCAATTGATTGCCAAATGAGATGACTTTGCACATGGTACACTCTTAGTCGATCAGACGAATTGCTCCCACAAGCTTTGAGAAAATGCAACTGTGAGGCGGAGGGCTCTGATTCAGCCTGGGTGTCAACAGCAGCCCAATACCCTGCTGCATCAAATGGAGAGCGGGAGGAGGCAAAACGATTTGTGTTTCAGCGGTTTCCTTGCTGCTGCTTGTGGATTTTTGAGGCTTTCGGTTGGGTTGTTCCGGGCTTCCCTCATGCGCAGTGTCCAGTCCAGAATGCCCATTAAAAAGGGACAGCTATCCCTTCAAGCAAATCCCTGCTATACTTTTATGATTGTGGGGATGCATCAGCTACACCTCCGCTGATGCAGCTCTGGGCTCGTTCTTTCAAGGCCAGTGCCGCGGAGCAGGAGGTCTGCAGCGGAGGGGACGAGGCTTGGCCCATCCTTGAAATACGGTTCACCAATCCAGGCGCGCTGAACACCGTCCTTTGGTTTGAAGACTGTTTGAAGTGAACTTTAAATTGGATGGGCGTTTTTTTCGGTATTTCTTTCAGATTCTGCATTTGTTGCTTTTCTGCTTCTGCTTCTGCTGCTTTTGTTGCTTTTCTGCTTCTGCTGCTTTTTTGCTTTTGTTGCTTTTGTTGCTTTTCTGCTTTTGCTGCTTTTTCTGCTTCTGCTGCTTTTTTGCTTTTGTTGCCTTTCTGCTTTTTGTGTTTTTGTCTTTCTGCTATTTGCTTTTGTTGCTTTTCTGCTTTGGCAGCTGTTCTCCTTTCTCGTTTTGTTTTTGCTTTTCCACTTGTTTGCTTTCTAACCTCTGGATGCTGCTCGGGGGGGGGCGCTGCGGCCCCCTCAATCCCCCCGCACCACGAAATCTGCACTTCATCTCCGACACCCGCGCTGCCACGAAATATTTTTAAGGTGAACTCCCCGGGGCAAAAACTTCTAACCAATAATATATGCCTTTTGTACTAGTTCTCTTTCTCTTTACTGTTTCTCTGCAAACTGCACCAAACTGTTGTGATAGGGTAGGAATTTCTCTGACACCTCCACTATTCCAATGTATTTTGCCAGGTACGACAGCTCCCAAATTAGTCTATATAATCAGCTAGCAATTAATATGATACCTGCACTATTCCAATGTATTTGGCCAGCTACGTCACCTGTGTCTCTGCTAAGGACACAAAATTGCTGTAATTAGCTAGGTACTAATTAATATGAAACCTGCTCTATTCCAATGTTTTGAAAAAAACAACGAAAAAGATGAACACCATTCCCAAATTAAAAGTGCATCCCTTTAAATTGCAGTAATTTTCATTGTTTCCGCCTTGTGTTCGATCGCAGCTGCACTTGGCTTTCGCCGCCCAGTGGTCTTCGCCCAGGCGGAGACAGCGTCAGCGGCGTCCGCCCAGCCTGCCCCAGAGGAGGCCATGTTTTGGGATATGGCCCTGCTGCCATGCTTCAACAAGCCCTCACCAGCCAACATGAAAGTCATTTCATTGATATTGTTACAGTTGTGCATATATCACGAAAGCTAGCACCAGCTAGCTGGAGTTGTCCTTGCTTTAGCAAGTGAGGGGCTGGAATCCTCGGGATCGCCGCATCACGTGAAAACTTCATATGTAGGCCCCCCCCCCCTCCCCCC